TCGAACTGCTGACCTTGCGGTTCGCAGCCCAATTCGTAACCATTATACTACCAGAGCTCCATTTTATAATAAAGAATTCCTGTGATCCTGTTTATAAGAGCACTGATTGTTTCAGCATGTTGTTGTTAACAACATCATCGAGTTGATTTGATTCATGGTGGCCTTGAATAGGATGTCTAAGGAGTGGCTGATGAGCTTGAACCGACAACCTCACAGTTCAAACCCACCTTGCAGTCCAGCGCATTAACCACAGCGCCACAACCATGAATTTATTTCTATATATTTAAAATATATATTTCATATGTTGTTGTTGGTGTGTGCCATCCAATTGGTTCCAAGTCATAGGGAACCTGTATAGGGTTTCTGAGGCTGTAAATCTCTATGGAATAAGAAAGAATGTCTCATCTTTTTCCCGTGGAGCAGCTGGTGGATTCAAACTGCCGACCCTGCGGTTAACAACTCAACTTGTAACCCACTATGCCACTGGAGTGACTAGATTGTACATAATTATGCATAAATATGTTATTTACAAATCTGTTTGTGTATATTTCATATAATGATGAAAATGCCTCACCTTTCCTGTAATTTCTTGAGTTTTTCGGGGTCTGTTTTTATTCTAGTATCCTCCCTTACATCTGGGAAACTGGAGGCTGCCGTTCTGTCCCCATTGACACTTTGACTCGGGAAATCAGACACTGTGAAGAAAGTCAAAGGTATGTTTCCTTGTGGGTGTCCAGGCATGTGAAATCTGCCTTGCAACTGAATCCCTGAGGGCGAGGCGCTGGAAGAATCCATGGAGGACAAGCCACCTTGAGGATTTAGTAAGAGAGTTTCTGAATATAATGGAGCCCCCTGAGGTTGGCTTGTTAAGGTATTATCTTCTGCTCCCCTGACATCAAATTCATGTGCACTGTTTACTGGAAAATCACTGTGGTTTTCAGCACTGACAAATGGATTTCTGTTTCTAATGGGGGAGAGTGGACGACGAATATTAAATCTTGAATTTCCTTCTGAGTCTGAACTGTGAACGGAAGAAAAGGGCACTGAAAAGTCTACTGAAATATTATCTCTCAGAGGAGACTGCATTAATGATCCTGGAGGGTTATAAGATGAATTCACTGATGATCTTGGTGCTGTGGGTCTACCAGAAAGAAAGCAGTCAAAAGAATTTCTAGGACCATTTAAATAGTCTAGCCAATCTCTTCCATAATCATGGGTTCCGGGCCTTTCTGCTGTAGAAGTACAATCAGCATGAACATTTCCAGCACTGAAACCATCGTGTTGTTTGGCTTCAGATTTGGTGTCCCATGAATGAAAAGTCGTCTTCTTGTTTTCACTGTTACTACTAACAGCCTCTGTAGTAGACTCCCCATCAAGCAACCCATGGTCTTGGAGCATCCTTTGCCCCACAGAAGGGCGCTCTGTCTCTGGCTGCACGGCATTGCTTATTCTTAGTGAGCCATGACTAAGCTCACTTCTTAAAGAATGAGCTCTGCGCTTTTTGGGATCTCCTTCAGAAGGTTTATTTTTGGACTGGCTAGCAAATGTCCCGAGAAATCTACTTCTCTTATGATTCGAAGGAGAATGGGGTGGGTGCATGCCAGCCAAGAGAAGTTCTTCCTCTAAGTGAGTTTCCTCTTCTGTGTCATCATTTTCTTCTCCACTGTTTAATGATAAAGTGGAATAAAAATCCTCATCTCTGAACATAAATGGGGTCCTTCTTGGACCGCCCATGGTGGTGGATGTGACTGGTGGCCCCAAGGACTCATTCACTACTTGAGGACCATTTGCTCCTTGGAAGGCGTGGGCTAGAACTAAAGGTGGCTCACTCTGGGAAAGAGTCCTCTTGTCATCTCCTTTGTTGGCTCTGTCAGAGGTGTCCTCAGCTGTTATCAGCAGCTGTGAGGATGGGACTAACTTTCTTCTCTCTCGAGTTGGCCTCTTCAGCTTAGTGTCACTTGCCCACACTGGGGCTTCTTGTTGAATTACTGGATCTGTATTGAGAAAAGACAATTTATCATTCTATGACAGGTGCCCATGAATGAAAGATCTTTAACAGCAAGGGTGAGAGTCCCTTAAGGTAACGAACAAGCCCTGGGGAAAAGAAATTATGCATCGTAAAAATGGCTGGTTCCTTTTTATTGCTTTTGAATTCTCCTTTGTGTACCTGTGGAGCTTAGGCTGGTTCTGGGACAGACTGGGCTAACCTCGAGAACACAGATTCTTTCTACTACAGCCTCAGTAAGATGGGTCCAGCCCCAGGCCAGTTTGGGCTGGTGATGGGTAAACTTCCCATGAAATACTCCTTTTTATTCCAGTATTTATTGGAAAGGGAAAGGAGCACTCCAGGAATGACTTCTACAAAAATCACCAGTGCTTACTCATCCAAGAGCATTCAGCATAGATTTATGACACTGGTACTGCACACACACATTTACAAAAGCTTAAGAGAAGCACAGTATGTCTTAGGAGGTGGAGAAAAAGACATTTGAAGCTGGTGCTTCAATGATTTTGTTCATGGTTAGTATGCAAATAAAATGCAAATAAAAATGATAAACCATTCATGTCACTAGTCCACGATCAAGCCAATTCAGACTCATAGCAACCCTATAAGGACAGGGTAGAACTACCCCATAGGGTTTCCAGTCTTTATGAAGGAGTACTGGTAGGGCACTGTGGGTTAAGGCGCTGGATGGCAAAATCAGCTTAAACCACAAGGTCGGTAATTCAAGTTCACCAGCCACTCCTTGGAAACCCTATCCAGCATCGCTATGGGTCAGAACCAACTTGATGGCACATAACCACAACAAATCTTTATGAAAGAGTCCTAGTGTGGTGCTATGAATAAAACGCTGACTGCAAGGTCGGTTTGAACTGTAAGGTCGTGGGTTCAAGTTTACCACCTGTTCCTTGGAAACCTTTTACAGGATTGCTAAGTCAGAACTGACTTGATGGCACTTAACAACAGCAACAACATGATACCACATTCTAGCTGAGGGGGCTAAGGCTTAGGGAAGTCAAGTTAACTTGTCCAAATTGTATTTCTAATAAATGATAGAGTAAACATTGAACCCAAGCCTGCCTTACATTAGAGAATTTTCTTAACTGACTGAACTTCCAATTTCCTGGTGAAAACCAGAATCCAGTCAATTCATCATGTTGTGTATGTGTGGTAGTGAGGGACTTTTCTACCCTCTCAATATGGGCAAAAAACCGTCATGTACGTTTTCTTCTCTGATGCCACTTAACTTTATTCTCTCCTGACAATCTGTCTTCCCCTTTCACTCGTCTCTGCTCCTCTACAGGGGCTGGTGAGACTCTCACCTGTCATCCTGTGTCTAAAGCAGTTCACCTGGTAAACCGGACAAGACTCCATGGGACCTGGGAAGGTCTGTGTGAGAACAACTCAGGCTGTTTGCTGTGAGAACAGCAAACCCTCGGAGCATCCAGCTCAGCAAAGGGTCAAGTCAATGCTGCCTGACTTTAATTGAGGCACCTCACAGGGGAATAACCGTAGGAGTCTCTAATGCCCTAATACACTGTGAGCCTCTTTTATTGTTAACTGCATGGGACACACAGTACACAGTGAGCATCTTTACTCATCAGCTCTTCTAGGAATCAATGAAGCTCTCAGATCAGGCCCCTCAGGGATTTTACAAACCACCGTGAGAGGTGTTTCAGCAGTTCCAGGATGCTCTGAACATTGGTTGTGTGTGTGTGAGAGAGAAACTGGTGTGCCCATCCTGCACTAAGCTGATCCACATGTGGATGGACCAATTATATCTATGGGATCAACGGAATTCTCCTAGATGTTAAGGGGGAAAAATAGAACGGAAGAATCAGAAGTGGAGGCACTGGCTGATTCTTTTTTAATTTGAATTGGATGGCAGGCCTCAAAGATTAGCGAACAGTGCCGGAGTCTGGACTTCCTGATTGTCCCCTGAACACAATGACCTGCCAGGTGATGGGGAGCTGCCCCTCTCCTTCTGAACTAATTCAGTCTGATCTGACCAGGCAAGGTGGACAGATCTAATGGGCAGAAGAATCAGTGAGGGCAGCTTCAGAAAAACAGACCCGGGACACTCACTCTAGAGCAGCCACTGAGCTGACAGTGGCCTCAGGGGCAGGAGAAGTGTAGGCTAAGGGCGGCAGCTCCTGTGGCTCCCCAAACTCCCCAGGTCATACATCCCCACCCCTCCTTGTCACTGTGACAGTCTTTCCTCTTAAACATTCCATCCATCATGGTGAGCGTGTGTTTTCCCTAAGGGTAGCAGACTGTACCATTCTATATTTATGCTATTCTAACCTTATTTCTTGTGTCTATTAAATAAGGAGCAGATTTCAGTAGCTCTAGGGCTAGGAATAAACATCTAATTTAGGATGCCAGGGATGTATTGCTATTTATAGACCAGACCCTTTGGATGCTGCTGAATGCCCTTTTGAACCACAAAGATTAGAGAGCCTGCTGATGCCAGGGGGTCTAGGTGCTAAGATGAATCAGAGCAAACAACCATCTGCCCCCAAACTGGGTCTGAGCTTCTTTATGTGCCTGACCATTCTGAAATCCAGATGCCTTGAGATGTTTCCTCTTACTATGAAAGTAATTTATGGACATGGTGGAGCCCTGGTGGCGTGCTGGGTTATGCACTGGGCTGTTAGGTACAGGGTCAGTGGTTAGATTCCATCGGACACTCCATGGGAGAAAGATGAGGCTTTCTGCTCCTGTAAAGATTTATAACCTCAGAAACACTAATCAGGGTTGCTGTGAGTCAGAACTGACTCGATCATATACAACAACAACAACAACATGCTCACTGTAGAAACTTTGGAAGATACAGATGAGTATAAAGAAGAAAATCAGAAGCACTCATGATCCAACGACCATTGTTACTGTTTAAGAATTCAGGGGTGGGCTGTAAACTTAAGAACCCTGGGCTATTTTCATCCTGCAAATGTGCTTTGGCTCAGCATTCAAAAATGAATTTAAAAATAAATGAAATGTCTTTAGATGAATAAGGAAGACTGCAGAAGAATCGATGCATTTGAATTATGGTGTTGGCAAAGAATATTGAAAGTATCATGGACTTCCAGAAGAATAAACAAATCTGTCTTGGAAGAAGTCCAACCAGAATGCTCCTTAGAAGCCAGAATGGCAAGTCTTGGTCGCTCATTCTTTGGACATGTTGTCGGGAAGGACCAGTCCCTGGAGAAAGACATTATGCCTGGTAAAGTGACAAAGAAGAAGACCCCCAATGAGATAAATTGACACAGTGGCAGCAACAATGGATTCAAATGTGACAACAATTGTGAGAATGGTGAAGGACAAAACACAGGGCAGTGTTTTGTTCTATTTTGTGCATAGCTGCTACAAGTCAGAACTGACTTCACACCACTTAACAACAACAACAGGTAGAACATATTGTTGGGGTTTACCACAGGTCCTACAACGCTGTTGTGTATTTCACCTGCCCCTTAAAGGCCTTTGTATTGGACCTCTTATCTAGCAATAAAGGTTCCAATAACCCTTATCTAGAGATACAGAACTCTCTGTCATGGAGGCATAGTGATCCTCCAGGACAAAGTAGAACTGTCCCATGGGGTTTCCAAGGCTGTGAATCTTCTATAGAAACCAACTGCCACATCTTTCTCCTGCAGAATGGCTAGTGGGTTCAAACCACTAACACTTTGGTTAGTAGGCACTTTAACCACTGTGCTACCAGGGCTCCTTATCTAGAGATACAGTCTTTACAAAATAAAATTGGGATATTTATATTTTGCTTTCTTTCCCTAAACATTTTATTGTGAGTGTTACTTCTTGCCATTGTTGTTGTTGTTGTGTGCTGTGGAGCGACCCTGCACAGGATTTCCAAGGCTGTAAATCTTTACAGGAGCAGAAAGCCTCATCTTTCTCCCACGGAACAGCTGGTAGTTTCGAACTGCTGACCTTGAGGCTCGCAGCCCGATTCGTAAGCACTATGCTACCAGAGCTTGCCATTAGTTATTCTTAAATAACATTATAGTTTTGTTGTTGTTGTTAAGAGCTGTTGAGCTGGTTCCGACCCATAGCAATCCTGCATAGGGTTTCCAAGGAGCGAATGGTTAGCTTGAACTGCCGACTTTGCGGCTCAAACTGACTTTGCAGTCCAGTGCATTAACCCACAGGGCCACACCAGGCCTCCATAGTTATAGTTTAAGGGTATCATAATTTATTTAACTGTCCCTGTATTGTTGGACACTTAGGTTGTTTTAAGCCTATTTGCTTAAAACTTAAAATTACATTGTGATAAATATTCTTCCTCATATAATCTTGGGCTACATGTCTTAGTATCTTAGAATAGATTTGTGGTAGTGAATTATTGTTGTCAAGTAGGTTCAGACTCATAGTAACCCTGTATGGGGTTTCTGAGGAGCAGCTAGCTGATGGAGTAGCTAGGTCAAAAGGTGTGACCTTTCTAGAGGTTTTTGATCCATGTTTTCAAAAATTTCATCCCAGACAAACTTGTACTAAATTATCCTGTTAATAAGGTGTGGCATAGTGGGTTATGCATTGGGCTGCTAACCACAGGGTCGGCAGTTTAAACCCACCAGTCGCTGTATGGGAGAAAGATGAGACTTCTGATCACATAAAGATTTACAGCTTCGGAAACACTATACAAGGTCACTATGAGTCAGCCCGACTCACCGGCACACAACAGAAAATAGTAAGGTGTGAGATCACTTTTTGTCCTCTGTCACTGACTATCCATGTCAAATACTTAGCACAGCATTTGACATATTGGTGCCAGGAAACATTAGCTATTATTTTTAGTATCAGTGAAGTCCTGGTATGGAGCTATAGGATAAGCACTTGACTGCCAACCACAAGGCCAGTGGCTCAAACCTACCAGTCACTCCTCAGGAACCCCATACAGGGTTGCTATGAGTAAGAAGTGACTATAACAAGACCAAAAAATAATTGGTACTAAAGCATTAAATATTATTTTTTAAACCTTAG